CCCCCTTATAATAATTAAAAATAAAACTGTTGTATCCTTTAGTTATTCTGATTATTTCAACAACCATATGCTCATGTGTAAGGGCCATCACTAAGTTTGCTCAAACTACCTGGCATTCACACCCTAAATTAAACTGACCCTTTCTCCTCCAAAAGCCATCAACTGCCACCAGTTTCTCAGTAATGCGTGGGGGCCTGTGAGCACCTTTCTCTTCCATGCTTGAGTGTTGACTGGCTTGACTTTGGAGTTCATGAGTACAGTAGTCTTGTCCTGTCTAGAGGGTACTACTGTTTTATTACAAGGTCTCTAATATGCTACAAGCATTTCTGAGAATCAAATTTGACTTAAATTTCTACTAAGTGTTGACAAGAAATCTGAAGAAACTGTTAATGTTTTTAATTTAACTGATTATATTCCTACATTCATGAGCTATAATTAAACTAATCAAGGCATTACTGTATCATGAAACTGACTGTTGCTTTGTATACTTAAAAATATTTGAGATAATTTCTTATATCTAAATAATTTCTAAAATGCAAAACCAGAAGCTGAATGTAACAAAAGACCACTGGAAACTGAACTAAGCCTACATCCATAATCTTGATATTCCAGATAACCATGATTGCATTCGGTGCTTGCAAGCTGGTCAGCCAGAAATCTAGGACACAATTTTGTGCTGAACCCAGTTCCTCTATTACAGATTATCAGAGCGGAAGGTGATGGGGCACTTCAGGGACACCTTAATAGCCATCTGCTCCACCCCATCCTCTCCATTGGGCCCAGGGGTGCCAGGGATGGTGCCGCTACTGAAGTTCCGCTTTATCTTGGTGATGCAGTGCTCAGCTGGCAGGAGGCGCTTCTTGAGGAGGCCCTGCAGCACAGAGCGGACAGACAGACAGTGCACCAGTTGCAGCACGAAGAGGCGAGAGCAGCAGCAGGTAGTAACAGTGATCTGGATCATGTTGCGGCCTGGCTGGCACACATGCTTCCGGTAGAGGGGCTTGTGCGAAGTCTTGTCTCCAGGCTCGATGCTGAGGGGTGTGGCGCTGACGCTGACCTGCATAGACGCTGGCCAGTTGGTGTTCATCTGTCGGTCCTCATGGTGGTAGCACTTGAACTGCAGCTCCAGGTCAGGCCTCAGCATCAGGGTCTTGTAGACAGAGTCTCAGAGCTGGAAGACATGGTTGCTCACAGCTAGGTTGTGCTGGAGGCGGAAGGGTTCCAGGACCACCCCATCTCTAACTGGGAAGGTCAGGCGCAACTCATCACAAGGACCACTTCCAGAGGGTGACGGATGCAAAGACCTGAGGCCTGGCTTGAGGTCAGGCAGGAAAGGAGACTTGACTTCCTGGCTTGGGGACATGTAGGGAACATTGCTGCTGGGCGTCATGGGTGGTGTGGGATTCCCCGGCAGTGGGGAGCTGGGGTAACCAGGGATGGAACAGGAAGGCCCACTCAAGCCAGGGTGACTGTAGCTGATGCTGCCCCCATTGAAGCTGGCGCCCTGCCCATTGAACTGCTCTGTGGGCTTGTAGTGCAGTGCTGTGGAGCCAGGTGCAGACAGGGAAGGGGCCATGCCCTGCTGCAGGGGTAGCCCGTGTCCGGGGTAAGAGGAGGCAGGGCCAGGGGGTTGCCCAGGACCAGGAGCATACTGGGCAGTGCTGGCCTCCTTGTAGATACTGCTGCCAGGGGTACACCTCTGAATAGGCTCTCTTGACGGCCTGTCGGGGCAATGGCTGGGCCTGAGGAGGCCCAGGGCACCCATGTTGAAGCAGTCGCTGTCCTGAATACAAGGGTGTCATGCCTGCTGCCCGGGCAGGGTTCATGGCCATGGAGGAGAGGCCAGAGGGGCCCATCATTCCTCCCATGCCAGAAGGGTTCATGCCAGAAGGTACACCGGGTCCTCAGGGACCACCATGCTGCAAAAACTGGCTGTTAAAAGACTGTCCAGTTCCCATCGCTCCATATTGGCTTAGCTCCTGGCTCTGTTTCTCCTGCAGTGGACATGGCCGTGGCTGTGGCGGTGGCTGCGGCAGCAGCCATAGCAGCTGCAGCTGCTGCTTGTGTGAAGTCTGTGGAGGGCCGTGCAGCATGTGAGGGGTGGGGCCAGGCCTCCAGGGCCACCTGCATACCCAGTGGGTGAAGCTGGATCCCCCAGGGTAATCCCCGCGGCCATACACGCCTTGCTGGACATAGCCCTTGCTAACACCACCTTCAGCAAACGCCTTCCGTTCCAGGCACTGCAGGGAAGGTCAAGGCAGAGCTGCCACCTGCCACACCAGGGATCATGGAGCCACCAGGGGGGGCTTCCTGCAGAGCCCATGGGGTTCTCCAAAACCTGGCTTTGAGTTGCTTTGCCAACTCCCCACACAGTAGTAACCACAGACAATCACCCTGCTGGCTGTGCTTTGTTGCCAAGGCACAGACTCATATGCAAATGAACCATCACCGTGTGGTGCAGGGGGCAGGGCAGGTTTCATAGGGTTCATTGGTGACAGAGCAGCCTACAGGCCCCATGTGCCAAAACTTCTCTGGGAGTTGCTGTTTAGGCCTGGGCAGCCCAGAGACCTGAGAGGGAGCAGAGCCAACGTGTCCTTTGAAGCAGAGGATGACAAGGTCAGGAAGCAGATGTGGAAAGGCGACCCATCCACCAGCTTGGCCTTGGGGAGGCGGGACACAGGCACCAGCCCAGCTACTGGCTGGCAGGCTTTTCCTCCGCCCCCATTGCCCAGGCCCCCGGCCCGCACAGCTCCCTGCGCTCAGCCCGCCCTTGGCGCCGCCCACCGCCCTGGGTGCCGCTGCCTGCGCCATCGGGCCACCACCGCTCTGGACTCATATATTCTGATATGAAAAGCAAATACTGAGATTTTCATTATTCCCATGACGACCTACTGTTAGGAACCATCTTTTTACTTAAACATGAGTAACAAAGAGCTATATATGAAGGATGTGGGGATAGGTAAATAAGGACGCCTAGTAAATAAAAATGGAACCTTTGAAGTTCGGGTTTCACTCTACTTACTTATTTCACTGTCACAAGGAAACAGTAGACTCCATTAGAACCTGATGTAGCACAGATAGACCATGTACACACACAACACAACCACAGAATATGGTTTGAAAAACATTCTGTTCCTTGTGCCTGATTCTTTCTGTCCTTTGTACAGAGTTTTTATTTGTCTCTCCTCCCTGACCACTTAAAAATGGTTTACACTGATGCTGAACTATTTTGCCAAACCCAGTTGATCTTTCTGACAATTTGACAGTCTCTACTGTTTGGATAATTTCCTTATGTTTTCCAGTGTAATAGTTGTAATGGATTTATCATCAATTGTTGTCCCCAAAGCTTTACTATCAACTGCTTCTTCCCTTACACAGAAGCAGCAGAATGTGTATAAACACGTGTTTCTAGATGTTTGACACAGTAAATAGGTCTCTCAATGTGATCTCAAGCCAGTCTAACATGTACTATTAAAAGCAATTAATGGCATTCACCCTTGAGAGGTTATTCATGATAAACATGCTAAAATTTAAAAATACTTAAGTTAAAGTTATGAAAATGCAGTAAAAATCCTACATGATACTTTAAAAAACATTTCCTTCCATATTATGTGTTGTCAAGATAGTTATTTGAGATATAATAATCATGGATTTGGGGAAAACATCATTGTTTAATAAACACTCCTAGGGAACAATATTATAATTCTCTGAGGAAACACATAGGTCACATCTTGAAAGGTGAGAATTGTTTTCACATGTTACATCTCATCTAATTCATGTTTTTGGATACATAACACACCATAACATAAGTTTATTCCAAACAACATTGATACAATTAAGGTCATGGACTCATGATTTTTAGTTCACTTTTGGAGAATATAAATTATTTTCAGTTTTTAAAGATAGCCTAGTGATTTGATACAGACTAAACATAAATGAAGATGTTTAACTGTTAAATAATAATAATGTATTACTTTCTTTAGTATACGACTTTTGACTTTTAAAGACAAACTACGTTTGCAATCAAGCACATAAAGGAGAATTTCTGTGGGGAAATCAACCCAAATTAATACTCCATACTCCCTCCTGTAGTGATCAACTTTGGAATGAGAAAAAAAAAATGAAGGTGACTGTGACAGTCCCTCCCTCTCTACCTTCATGAGAACACTCGGTGCAAATGATGAGAAAAACATGAATGGGCAGAGTGATTCCCAAAGGATGTCTCTACAGGAACTTATCAAAAAAGATTTAAACAAACATTCCTCAAATAGTTGAAAAGCATAAATATGATATTCATTTGAAGAAGGTACCACCTCATATACCAAAAAAAAAAAAAAAAAAAAAGAAAGAAAAGAAAAAAAAAGAAAAGAGCTAAGGGTAATTCCCTCTAACTTTAAAAGCTATGTAGTTCACATGTGGGGGTATATGGGAGAAACATTTGTGATCCATTGTCTGCCAGGCTGCAGGGAGCATCTAGACAACAGGACCCAAGTCATATACATGCCCCACATTTCCCCATTCCCAGGACCCTTCCCAGACCTCATTCAGATTAAGTGAAAAAAAAATTGATAAATATAACAAATGTGTCTTTATGATAAATGAAGTGTCTTTTTTTTATTTTTTTATTTTTGAGACAGGGTTTCTCTGTAGCTTTTTTGGTTCCTGTCCTGGAACTAGCTCTTGTAGACCAGGCTGCCCTCGAACTCACAGAGATCCACCACCTCCCGGCTTTGAAGTGTCTTATTCTATAATAATAATATGGAAAAATGATAAAGGCCTCTGTGGAATTTACAGTTGAACAGAAGCACGAATATGCTTTCTATGCATACAACATCATACGTCAAATATAATGTGCCAATACCAAGTTGTTTTCATTACTGTAGCTCTGTAATAGAGTTTGAAGTCAGGGATGGTAATGCCTCCAGAAGTACCTTTATTGTATAGAATTGTTTTGGCTATCCTGGGTTTTTTGTTTTTCCAAATACAATAAAAATTGGTCAAAATGTTTAACAGTTTTATTGCACAGAATGAGAAGACCTGAATTTTAAACAAGCTGATACTTATTTAATATCACAAAAATCATAGGAAAATAATGCTTATATAGATATAATCTCATTACATAAGCAAGCATATGCCAGGAAATTAAAGATGCATCAAAATCTGAAATAGTATGACACTGGATGTTTTTTAACACATTACCTTAACACAGAGTCAAGAAATCTTATTGCTTAATTTACACCTACTAGAAATATTTACTTATTCATAATAGTTAATGCTTGAATAGTATGTTAACAACAGTGATGCATAAATTCTGTTTACAACAAATGCTTGATGACAATGAAGTTCAAATCTGGATACAATGTTTCTAAATTCATAAGAACTGTAAAGCTGTCTATGTACTGACTAAGCTTTGAAAATTAATTGAATGATGCGAGTCTCTACAATAACTTGATTAATGTATGAGAATCTGTACAACAAATTAATGTGAGATATATTAAAAAATTATGAAATGTACATCACACATGACTTTCTTTTTATGCTTTCTAAGACTTGAGTTTGTGTTAAAGGATTTACCACATTCTTTACATATGTAAGGTTTGTCACCAGTAAGGAGTCTATGGTAAGTATGAAGAGCTGAGATCTGGGTAAAGGACTTGTCACATTTTTGACATCTACAAGGTTACTCACAAGAATGAAGTCTGTAATGATTATGAAGTGTTGAGACATGGGCAAAAGATTTGCCACATGCTTGACACCTGTAAGGTTTCTCACCAGTATGGGTTCTCTGATGACTGTGAAGATTTGAGATCTGGGTAAAGGACTTGCCACATGCTTGACATGTGTAAGGTTTCTCACCCGTATGGATTCTGCGATGAGTATAAAGAGTTGAGGCCCTGGTAAAGGATTTGCCACATTCTTGACATCTGAAAGGTTTCTCACCAGTATGGGTTCTGTGATGATTATACAGTGTTGAGACATGGGCAAAAGACTTGCCACATTCTTGACATGTGTAAGGTTTCTCACCAGTATGGATTCTGTGATGTCTGTGAAGGTCTGACACCTGGGTAAAGGACTTGAGACATGCTTGACATGTGTAAGGTTTCTCACCAGTATGGATTCTCTGGTGAGCTTGAAGATTTGCATAATGGTTAAATGACTTGCCACAATCTTTACATTTGTATGCCTTCTCTTTGGGATTAATTCTCTTATGCATAGTGAGGCATACACATCTGTATAAGCACCTTCCACATTCCATATAGTTGTTTTGACTTTCTTCATTTTGATTGCTTATATAATGCTTCTCTTCTTTCTGGTTATGCTGGAACAAAAATAAAGGTGTGTGTTATAATAAAAAAAATCTCCTTAAAATTATTGTGTATGTATTGGCTCTTAGGAAAAACAGACTTTTATGTATTTAAATAATGAGTAAGCCATATTGTGATTTGATATTTTGGGAATTTGTTCCTTCAAGATGAGGATTCTGGTAAACAGTCTTCCTAGAGTTCCTAGGAAAGGTTTTAATAACATCATTAAATGTGTAAGACTTCTCACAACTAGAAAAGCTATGATATATTTTCAGTCTCATTTAATTGAGAAAAATCTTCTCATATATATGTCAATTGAATAACTTGTCACAAAATATAATTATTAATTAAGGGAATTAAATGTTTAATAGCATATGCGTCATTCAGTTTCAGGTTTTTCAAAATTATTTACAATATAAACATGTTTTAAAACATTTTTTTTTCTGAGAAACTGCTTTTGAAAATAATGTGACATCTTTCAAGACAAGGTAGAGATTACTGACATTTTTTGGCAACGCTACCCAGTGTGGTTGATGAATATAGATTATTTCAATTATGACATAATCCATTCTCTTTTCTCTCTTCATCCTGAAAGTTTTTAAGTCACTACTTACAGCTATTCCTGATATCAATTTCTGGATAGGATCTTGTCTATTCTCCTGTGAAAATAGGTCTTGTGCTTGATGAAAATAGAAAACTGGAAGAAAGAAAAATGTATAATTATCTGCATTAGTACACTTATGTGAAACATTTTTAGATATACAAGTAACACAGTTTTATAAATATGTAGACCTATATTCAAGATGGCATATTACAAAAAATAAACTTCAAATCATTCATTCTAAGGAAACAATCTTTTTAAGGCAAATGGACAGATCTTTTATAACATATATTAAATAAACTATAAAAATGGAAAGATCGAAGTTGTTACCTTAGAGATTCCAGTCATAATTTTGAGAATTAAGACTATAATAGGTTGAGTGAAATGACCCCATATAATCAGATATCTGAATACATGGTCTGAGTTGGTGGATACTTATCGTTAGGATAAAGAGGTATCAACTTAATGGAACATATATGTCCTTAGAGGCTGGCTTTGAGAATTTTAATGCCTTCAATTGCCAAAAGTGAGCTCTCTGCTTCCTGCTGTGGTTCTAGATGGGACCTCTTACTGCTGCTCTAGTCCCTTGTCAACTGCTACCTCTAATTTATCATAATAGATCTTTCTTCTGCATTTTGCCTTTATCTTGGAGTTTTATCACAGAAATTGAAAAGTAACTATGTACAAAGCCTATAACCCAACTACAAAAAACACTCATTTTATCTTAATGGATATAACTCATCTCCACAATCTTTTAGAATGAACAAATTGAATAATATTAGTAAAGAATACAGAATATTTATTAGTAAAGAAAGAAGGAAATGAAGAACAGGAAACAGTTATTACTAATAGGTCCACAGGGAATCAAGTATGCCACAAAGAAGGGGTCCATAAATTTTCAAAGAAATTCACTAGGACTGATCTTATCAGAGATACATTTTCATAAAATATATTCTGATTATGAATTTTAATCCCTCAAAAGCCCTGAGATCATCCCCATATTAACTAATGTCTGAATTTACCCACTTTCTGTCATGTTGTAGAAAAAATATAGGCATCTAAAGAAAGAGAATAAAATAATGTAATCAGAGTCAATGAAATCAGTCAGGATAAGAGAAGACAAGGAGACAAAGAAAAAGCACAGTAAACATGTATAGAGAAAGACACACAGATGTCCATACAAAAACTGCATAAAGCAAAACAAGGTAAAACTCTAGAAGTTTATAATGTACAAAAAGATACCATAAGGTCAAAAATGAAAACAAATAAATTCCCAAACTAAACATTATGGGGAAAAAGAATGTACAAATATTTCATTGAGTGGTGTCTTTGTTATCCATCAAGTGCTGGGTATGGGGCCTTCCTGTAACAGTGACTCTTATCCCAGTTCATACTCTCTTCAAGAAACTAAATTTTCTTGGGGACTTGTGGTCTACTGGAACTAGCTTAGGTAAGATTAGAATTAAAAGCCATCTTTTTGTTAAATGTATTTTTCTAGATTCCTTTACTAATAAGTTTTCATAGATGAGTGAACTTATGTTAGTAGCTACAATTTGATTTTATTAATTAATATATCAGTTTTCAACCATACAATTATAATACAAATGCTGATTATATAACTGCAGAATAATTTAAAATTGTGGATGAGCTTTTTTTTTCATCTGCAAGATCCTTGGAAACCCCAACATGGCCTGCTTCAGGGCTGAGGGGACCGGGGACCAGAGAGCCAGCGGGAGGGGTTGTTTCCTGCCCCCCTCCCCCCAGCTCGCCTTTTAGTCTACAACCCTGAAACCCTGCAAGAGGGGAACTGGAGAGGAGAGCAAGTAGCCATGCAGCCAGAGCACCTGAAGTGCAACTCTCCAGGAGAGTCCCAGGAAACTGAATTCAGGCCCCGACCAATTCCCTAGAGCTTTTCTGGCCATCATGCTGGGTTTGTTCCTGCTGCTGGCTTTCTTTATCCCATTCCACCCAGCCCCCAAGCCCGCCTTTTAGTCTGCAAGATCCTTGGATTCTACAAAACAGCCTGTTTCCGGGCGGAGGGGATCTGAGAGCCTGCTCCAGTGCTGAAGGAACCTAAGAAAGGGCAGACTAAGAAAAACTCCCAAGTACACAGTCAGCCACAGCAAAGATGGGACCAAGACTCTGCTGGCCTCATTTGAAGGAAGAGATGGGTAGGCGCCAATGCAAAATTCCTCAAACATCCTGAAAAGCAACATGGTAACACCAGAATTCAGCGAACACATAACAGGAAGACGAACATCCTAACCCAGAAGAAAAAGAAGAAATCGACTTTAAACGTAATTTTATGAAAATGATGGAGGCCTTTAAACAGGAAGTGAAAAACTCCCTTAAAGAAATGGAATAAAAGACAAAAAAAAGTTAGAAGAAATTAATAAATTCCTCAAAGATACCCACGAAAACCAAGAAAAAGCAATCAAACAGGTAAAGAAAACAGTTCAAGACTTGAAGACCTAAATGGAGGTAAGAAAGAAAACACAAACCGAGGGATGGCTGGATATGGAAAATTTGGGTAAACAAACAGTAACTACAGAGACAAGTATAACCAACAGAATAAAAGAGATAGAAAAAAAAAATCTCAGGCGCTAAAGATACTATAGAGGAAATAGACTCATTGATCAAAGAAAACATCAAATCCAACAAATTCTTAACTCAATACATCCAGGAAATCTGGGACACCATGAAAAGACCAAACCTAAGAATAATAAGGAAGCCAACAACACCCATAATAGCATGGACATCTGACAACCCTCCACCAACAAAACTCAAAGAAGGGAAACACACAAACACTACCAACAAAAAATAACCAGAGTTAACAACCACTGGTCATTAATATCACTTAATATCAATAGACTCAATTCACCTATAAAATGGCACAGGTTAAGAAAATGGATACGAAAACAGGATCCAGAATTCTGCTGTTTACAAGAAACACAAATCAACCTCAAACATAGACGCTACCTCAGAGTAAAGGGTTGGGAAAAGGTTTTCAAATCAAACCAACCTAAGAAACAAGCGAGTGTGGCTATCCTAATATATAACAAAATTGATTTCAAACTAAAATCAATCAGAAGAGATGGAGAAGTACACTTGATACTCATAACAGGAATGTCAAGATGAAGTCCCAATCCTGAATATCTATGCCCCTAATATAAAAGCACCCACATATGTAAAAGAAACATTACTAAAACTCAAATCACACATCATACCCCACACACTAATAGTAGGAGAGTTCAAACACTCTTCTCTTACCAATGGACAGGTCAGACAGAAACTTAACAGAGAAATAAGAGAATTAACAGATGTAAAGAATCAAATGCATTTAACAGACATCTATAGAACATTCCGCTCAAACAGGAAAGAATATACCTTCTCAGCAACTGATGGAACCTTCACAAAAATTGATCACATACTCCATAACAAAGCAAACATCCACAGATACAAAAAAAAAATTGGAGAACCATCTGTGTCTTATCGGACCACCATGGAGTAAAGACAAAATTTAACAACAATACCACCCCCTGGAAAGCCTACAAACTCATGGAAACCGAACAGTCAACTACTGAACCACCCCTGTGTCAAGGAAAAAATAAATAAAGAAATTAAAGTCTTCCTTGAATTCAAGAAAAATGAAGACACAACATACCCAAACCTATGAGACACTATGAAAGCAGTGCTAAGAGGAAAGTTCATAGCACTAAGTGACTAAGTGCCCACATAGAGAAAACGGAGAAAGCTCACATTAGAGACTTAACAGCACACCTAAAAGCTCTAGAAAAAAAAAAAAAAAGCAGACTCACCCAGGAGGAGTAGAAGACTGGAAATAAGCAAACTGAGGGCTGAAATCAACAAAATAGAAACACAGAAAATAATAAAATAATCCAAAGAATCAATGAAACAAACAGCTGGTTCTTTGAGAAAATCAACAAGATTGACAAACCCTTTTCCAAACTAATCAAAAGGCAGAGAGAGAACATGCAAATTAACAAGATCAGAAATGAAAAAGGGGACAAAACAAGAGACACTGAGGAAATTCAGAGACTCATTAGGTCTTACTACAAAAGCCTGTAATCCACAAAATTGGAAAATGTAAAAGAAATGGACATTTTTTAGATAAATACCATATACCAAAATTACATCAAGACCAGGTGAACAATTTAAATAGACCCATAAGTTGTGAGAAAATAGAAGCTGTCATCAAAAACCTCCCAATCAAAAAAAGCCCAGGACCAGATGTTTTTAATGCAGAATTCTACAAGAACTTCCAAGAAGAGCTAATACCTATACTCCTAAATGTGTTCCACATAATAGAAATTGAAAAGTCACTGCCAAGCACTCTTTATGAAGCTACAATTACCCTGATACCAAAACCACACAAAGACTCAACCAAGAAAGAGAATTACAGACCAATCTCACTCATGAACATCGATGTAAAAATTCTCAATAAAATTCTGGCAAACTGAATCCAAGACCACATCAAAAAAAAAAATCATCTATTATGATCAAGTAGGCTTCATTCCAGAGATTCAGGGCTGGATCAACATATGAAATCTATCAAAGTAATCCATTATATAAATAAAGTGAAAGAAAAAACCATATGATCATTTCATGAAATGCCAAAAAAGCATTTGACAAAATTACACCCCTTTTTGATAAAGGTCTTGGACAGATTAGGGATACAAGGATCATATCTAAATATAATAAAAGCAATATACAGCAAACTGACAGCTAACATCAAATTAAATGGAAAGAAACTCAAAGTGATTCCACTAAAATCAGGAAGAAGACAATGCTGTTCACTCTCTCCATACCTCTTCAAAATAGTGCTTGAAGTTCTAGCAATAGCAATAAGACAATATAAGGAGATCAAGGAGATTCGAATTGGAAAGGAAGAAGTAAAACTTTCGTTATTTGCAGATGATATAATAGTGTTCATAAGTGACCCCAAAAACTCTACCAAAGAACTCCTACAGATGATAAATACCTTCAGTGATGTGGCAGGATACAAAATCAACTCCAAAAAATCAGTAGCCCTCCTATACACGAAGGATAAAGAAGCTGAGAGGGAAATCAGAGAA